ACCACAATATAATCACACCAATTGGCAAATCTCAGTTCGTTTTATGTAGAAACAAAAGTTAATATCGATGCTTGTAATTATAAATATACCCACAGCATCGATTTTCAACAGTGTGGAGCAGCATTATCTACTTGCTTTTTTATGTTATAAGTTTTACAATATTTGTTCTAAATTTGAGCAGTCGTATAAAATCGTACTAATTATTATAAGCCAATTATCAATTTGGCATGTCAACCACACCAATGAGCAATATTGAGTTGTCACATCTCCCAATAATGCGTGGCCAAAAAGAAATTTCTAATACAGTGGGCCCTCACAGTCATGGGATTCTGACGATATGTATTCTAATTTTTTGGCACAAATGGGACCCGAACTTGCTAACGCAAACAAAGCCACGCTAAAAGGATTTACAGCTCGTTTGGAGAAGGCTTTGGATTTGAAGAAGATGAATGATCGTATCATTAAGTCGCCCTCAGCGAAAGCCAACCCGAAGAAAAAAATTGATCGTATCAATGACGTGCCATCAGCAAGTGCCAACAAATTGAACCTTTATTATCAACTAAACCTCTACACCGCTCTAATGCTCAGACGAAAATGGGGGACACAGGGTATAGATGCAGCCAAATGGAAGGTTCACGTAATCGAATTAATTTGATATGGGTTTTCTCGTGAAGAGGTGGATATAATATTGATTACAGCTGGGTATGAAAAGGTCGACAGAGAACGCTATTTGGCTATATACGACGAAGTCGCGTCTAAAATGTCATAGAGGATATTCTAGATTTTTCGTTCCTACACACTAATTCCCCGGCTCATTTCATCACTCATGATTTCAGAGTCGATGTCCGTTCTGCCAGCTTGCTTGCAAGCAGAGCAAGAATAAAATTCGGAGACGATCCAGTGTATCCAAGATCCGACTGGTATTATCTATTGACCAAGTGGTTCATCATCCCCTACAGTCAAGCGTATATGCAACGGGTCCTTAGTAATGCCATCTAAGAATCGAAAGCAGTCGAGAGAGTCTTGCGCATCTATAACAGTCTCAAGATTAAAATTGATATGATATCGGATTCTTCGGTGTTTGAAAACAGCGAGCTTCACTAGTCAAACGCTGTCAATATTCTGGAATTCAAAATCGCTGAATAATTGCTGGTCTGGCTTTTTCACCTTCAGATTTTTATGAATGAAGCTCCTTACAGACTGTTTTTTTTTTGGACCAGATACTTCGGAATCCTCGTTCCGTTATTCCAAGCGCAATGACACCCTCGAGTGTTATGACTTAATTTGACAAACTCGTTTCGAGTTCCCTTTCACTCATCTTGAAATGACAACTGTGCAAAGATTAGATCTATAACATTATGTTTTGCTTTTGATTTCTCTATGTCTATTGTGCTGCATAGAATACTAATGATTATCGTAGTAATATGAAATACTTGCAGCTGACATGATGGTTCACAATAGAAGTGAAAGCAAGAGCACTACTGGCGGCCCAAGGCTTAGAAGCGATTACTGATGGCCTGGAGGCGTTTCCTAGGTACACTTCCAAAAAAGTTTCAATCAAAGGTCCACCGACTCTTACAGAGCTCTATAAAGTTTAACCGCACAATGACAGAAAGAACATCTCTGAGCGACGCGAAGACCGTGGGCTTAGTTCTACTCAAGGCTGACATCGTGCTCACAATCGCAGAATATGATAGTCGAGTACAAAAATGGGCACTGGCATGTGGCTTGTGAGAGAAAGATGTTGCAAATCTTCTCACCACCTAACAAGGCTTTTTCGTGCTTTTTGAAAGTGATCTTATCCAGGCTGAGTGTAAAACGATGATCTCTTTGTTGCTCTACATCGCCGCAATACCCGCACGTGGTACATCTGAAGAAGGTATTTAAAACCCTGTGTATATCTTTCATTCAGCTGGAAGATTTGAAGAGTCGAAAGAGCTAGCCGACTAATCTCAAGATGAAAGTGACGAGTCTGAGAAGACACAAGGTCCCCTATTCAAAACCCAATAAATATGTAAAACCCAACATGACGTTCCTATCATATTTTGACCAGATTACTCTGCCGTAATAACATTCAATCTAAGTAAGATAATCATTTAAAGGAACAGGGCATTACGTTCAACTTGTTGGCATTTGCTGATGGCACGTCATTGATACGATCAATTTTTTTCTTCGGCTGAGGGCGACTTGATGATACGATCATTCTTTTTCTC